TCTTTGTTTTATCCGCAATGGTTCCAAAGAAATATTGTTAATGTCTTGTCTCTATTTGATGATCAAGGGTCTTTAATGACATATAACAGCTTTATGACAGAGCACAGTTTTCCCATACCATATAGGGAGTACAGTACAGTTGTCAAAGCTATTCCACAGGGCCTGATTCAGCTTATGAAAAATCATATAAGTGTTAATGTAGGACAAGCATCTGCTGTCTATTCAAACCTTTATATAAATGGAAAAGAGATATATGATAAAAAATGTACGAATAAGAATATCCGCCAAACTTTACAGTATAGAAACAGAACTATCCCTAGAGGGACATTTTTCTGGAATTCTTATTTGGAGGACATTAATTGGAGGAAGGCCTGGCTTCTGCCTCATAAATTTTGTATCTCTAATAAAGTAAAAGAAGTTCATTTTAAGATTTTACATAAGATATATCCAGTTAACTTGTAAATTGCCAAATTTGTAGACATAGACAGTGCCTGTACCTTCTGTGGCCTGGTGGATGAAACACTTACCCACCTTTTCTTTCAGTGTGATGTGATTAGAGCATTTTGGTCTGAGTTGTATTCTTATATATTTCAAGCTCATCAATCTATTGATATCTTTACCCTTAAAGATATAATTTGTTATTACTGTAATGACAACGATAGGGCATTATGTGATGTAGTTAATTTTTTTATTTTAATGGGAAAAATTTTCATTCACAAACAGAAATTTACAGGTTCTTTGCCCTTATTTTCCATCTTCTTTATTGAGCTAAAAAATGTTATTAAATCGCTTTCCTTGATAAAAAACAAGAAAACCCAAAGATTTTTAAAATATTACGAGGACCGATTTGAGTAGGAGTCTTAAGAAATAGTAAATTATTTATTGTATTCTTATTTATTCATTTATTTATTCTTATTTATTCCTATTTATTTATTTATTTGTGTTCCTGGCTGTGGTGTAATATTTATGATGAATTGCCATGTATTGTTATGTATATAGACCATATATGTAGAAAATATTTTCTCTGGTATTGTTCATTGTTATGTGATATTTTCTGACGTTGTATGTAAATTATTCTCAATAAAAAAAAAATTTTTAAAAAGTAAAATATACACGTGGCCCGGGCTGTCTAGGTGCGCATGCGCGCGCAAATCGATAGGCACCGCAGACCGAGTAGCGACACTGGTTTTATTACATTAGGTGTATGGAGCTGTTCATTGGTTAATTTAAGCACGGAAATGCATTTATGTGAAATTGTGGGTTTTAATGGTGCGTTCCATTATTTCTCTCCGAGTCGAAACTCGGATGAATATAAAACGTGACTTCCCGTCGGAAACACGCCTCTTTTATGACGTTGATGTCGGACAAGATTTTGTTGTCCGAGTTGCCCCTGTGACGTAATTTCAACATGGCGGCATACACACTCAACAGTAATTCTATCTTATAAATCTTTAAGAATGTTTATTTTGTTAAATGTATTAATAGTTATAAATGTAACTGCACGTGTTCGATTTAGAGAATACCATATCATGACCGTAAACAGTATCCTATCATGCAATATCAGAGTTGTTAGTGTCTTTGGTTTGTTTGTAGTTTGTTTGCCTCTCAAAAAAAGAATATCGCTATGAATGTGCTAAAATATTTTATAAAGCTTTTAATGTGGTTTGACTAGTTCATGTTTCTTGTTTGTTTGTCTCTCGGAAAAAATAATCTCACTCCAAATCTGCTAAAATATAAAGCAACAGCACACAGCAGCGTGTTCAAGAAGGCAGCCATGTTTGTTCCGAGATGTGGTAGCTCGAACGGGAGATTGTCGGACGTGATGTCACTCAACTCAGAATTTCTGACTTCCGAGAGAAAAACGAACACACTATAAAGATAACCGTCTCGTTATTCACATACAAGTCTGAATCCTTGCTGAAGCTTATCGTCGTGTTTTCTCTTTCACACTCTTCACAGTATGGATAGCTTAGATCTGTCTGATTTGATTTTGTGTTAAACAAATTCGTTTCAATTAAAAATTCATGTAGGCCTAGCGCTTGTCACGTTGAGAGGTGCACAGAAAAAAAATTGTGTGTAATTTATCATGGGTACGGGCAGGTAGGGGGCGGAATGTTAACGGGCCTGGGCGGCTGCGGATTTAACTTTGAAATAATCACGGGTGCAGGAGCGGGTGTGGTGCTGTACTGTGCGGGTGCGGGTCTCCAAAAGTGGACCCGTGCAGGACTCTGCCCTGGCCGTACAGGTACGAATTACTTTTGCACCACATTTCGCTGAGATATTTGGTGTGAAAGTGAGAGCATGTGAGAGAACAGTACTTGATACTCGTAGCGGCAGATTCGAGCAGTTGCAATTACTGACTTGTGATTCCGCTACAAAAATGTCCAAGAAAAAAATATAGTTGCAAGAAAATGTTCTATGTGTATGCAGCTCTCATTGTACGAATTCACGAACTAATATGCCAATGTTTCACTTTTGTTCATAAGTTCACATTTTTGGATTACGGGAGTGCGAATGTGTTTTGCACCATATTTACTGCAGCAAGTGTAGCTAAATTGTGAGCGTTTGGGTTTCTTAGTTTGTGATGTGTAGAATAGGATTTTGTACACCTGTAATGAAGAATTTGTGAAGACGTAACCGTTGTGTTCCTGGAAATCCCGAGACTTCAAATTTACTGATACACGTGTAACTCTTTTCTACAGCTACAGATGCTCAGGTGTTTTGCACCAATGATACCTCCCTACTGGAGTGCCAATCCTGCCACCAACCCCCGTATTTTCCCTGCAAGTTGGAGGACCGCTTATAAGTCCAGATACAGTTTAAGACAGTAATGATACAGGAATCAATCAGAGTTAAACTCCGTAAACTGCATATTACTTGCAAAGACATGTATAAATAAATGTTGCAGAATAATTGAGGCTGAATAATGATAATTGAATCTGCAAAAAGTCATTAAAAAGAAAGACTGTTCACATTTGAGAAGGAAGAGTAATGCCAGAGTGAGTTGACTTGAATTTTCGAAAATGAGAAGGGGGTGAGGCGGGGGTGGGGGAGGAAGCAAGAAGTGCAGAGTTATAAAGTTTCACATGATCTGAGGGCTGGAGATCAGCAGCAGGCACTTTAACTCCAACCAAGAGATCCAAGGCGGTGAGTGACAGCATATTATTTATGGATATTTATGATTATTGTTCATGTTTCATGGTTAACACCTTGTTTATCTTTGTTAAATTTACCTACTGTATGTTCTGCTAGTGCACAGTTACACAACCATGAATTTCACTACACATTATACTAAGTGTTGTGTTTCTCGCTTTCACAACATACGTCCAGCAGACACCAAAGTAAGGTTAACAATGCTTTTATTATACTGCCTTACATGACACTTCTCAGTGCAGGACTATACACTGCTCTCTAACTCTGTGTATTCCTACGCTAGCCAGTCTATCGGTTAATTATTATGGTGCATACCAGAAAAGTAGTTCCTATATCTAATGTGAACATAACACTAAGTATGACAAAATTTGATTTGACTTGATTTGATTTCACTTGATGGCAAATTTAATCAAAAAGGAAAGAAATTGAAAAATGTTCAACATAGACCATTTTAATCTGTTTACTTGTTTATTTGATCCTTTCACTTTCACTTATGAAGCTTGATATTCCAGTATGTTTATACTGGAACACTATGTTCATACTGGAATCTACAGAACATAGTTGTATGGGTCATCTCAAAAATTATACAGAAATATTTGTATTTTGCATTTTCAAATGAATATATCCAGTCTGTTCACAGTACAAAAATGTGAAAATTATACATTGTTTTATGGTTCCCATATTATTCCATCCACATGGAAAACTTCCCTGTTCATATATTATATTACCTGAAGCACAATTTGTAATCACAATTATTATTACAAATGGACAAATTTCCCAGTGTGAGGCTCTGTGTGAATCAATCCAGACAAATTGTCCGGTGTGAATTTATTACTTTAACATTCACATTTCTTCACTTGCAGATATAGGTGCTTGACGTAGAGCAGCTTCTGACACCAACCTATAGGAAAGCATGGCTGGTGAGTCAGTTACCACACTGGCTTTTCTGCTCTGCTGTCTGGGCCTCCCAGCTGTGCTCCGTCTTTCTCTCTCTGAAGCACATAGACTGATGATCAGAGATACTGTAACTGGGGCATCAGCTAGACTGACATCCACTGAGCTGGACTCAGACCAGCTGATGAATCTCTGAGGTGGAGGTGTGACTGAGGGTCTTACTCTGAAGGGCTCTGCTGGCTGTAAAGGACACTCTGCTGTGTGTAGTTGCAGCACATCCTGTTTCCCTGTATCTGTGTGATTGGCTATTGGTGGTATAACATGCTGCTTTCTGCTTAACTAACTGTCCTGAAACAGCAGAGCTTTATTCCTGCCTGTTAATTTCGATTATTTTAGCCCAGCTTCTGCTTAGAGTGCCTGCCTGTTCAGGTAAAAACAAATAGAAAAATTAGGTTTTTCATTAGCTAAACAGAACGAGGAAACCTGTGTTCAGTGATGAAAGGAGATATTGTAAATAAGTACCTCTCACTGTCAGTCTCTTTCCCATGCGCTTATGCTTTGTGTGGCTCTGCACTGCCATCTATTGACAGAATAAAATAATTGCACCCAAGACATCCTAAAGACATGCTAGAGAATTTCCACAGCAATATGGCATGTTCGTGTTCATTATAACCACATTCACAGTGCTTCCTGCTGACAGGCTTGATCTTAGCACATTGCTATTGCATTGAGTCTTCAGTCAAACTGAGACAAATCTATAACATTCATGGTAACTGATATTGTGTTTCTCTCCCAAAGCACCTGCTGAAGTAAGAATTGTGTTGTTGGGAAAAACAGGATCTGGGAAGAGCAGCGCAGGAAATGTTATCCTGGGGGAAGAGAAGTTTAACGTTTTATGTAATCCAAACGATGTAACAAAAGATTGTGAAACAGATGAAGGAAACCTTAATTACATGAAGATTACAGTAACTGACACACCAGGGATTTTTGACCCAGACAGGTCTGAGAAAGATCTGAAGTATTCCATAGCATTCTGTCTCACTGAATGTGCTCCTGGTCCACACACCTTCATCTTAGTGCTGAAAGTGGGAAGACACACTGAAGAAGAGAAAGTGTCAGTGAAGATGATACTGCAGTACTTTGGGGAGGAAGCCCTGAAACACACAGTTGTCCTCTTCACACATGGTGATGAGCTTGACAAAAACCAGACCATTAATGAGTTTGTAGAGAAGAACAAGGATCTGAAGGAACTTGTTGATAAGTGTGAAGGCCGAGTCCAACAAAAACCAAGATAAAAATGCTCAGTCTGCAGATCTCCTGGAACAACTAAAGAAAATGATGATAGAGAAGAGAGAAGCTGGGGAATCACAGGCTGTTCAGATACTGGAAGACCTGAAGAAGCAGATATTACAGCAAAGAGCCTCAGCACCTGATCATGAACCGGGCCAATGATCAGGAAGACCTACAAGCTGTGATGGAAACCTGGATGAATCAGAGTACAGGAGCAACAGGTTTCAGATTAAACAGCTGCTGACAACTATAGACAACATGGTGAAAGGGAATGAAGGTCGTTGTTACACAAATGAATCACTTGAGCTCATTGCAGAAGCTATACGGGATGAGGTAAATAAAATAATACAAGACAGAATGAAAGTGTTTTTGGAAGAAGCCAAAAATAGAGTTAGAAAGAATAGGGACAGTTATTACACAACAGAATCTCAGAAGCTAGACAACATAGAAGCTATAGAGCACGAGATAGATAAAATAAAGAAAGAGAGCAAGACAGAAATTCAGAAAGAAGCTAGAAAGAGAATCAGAAATGAGATTTTACAATCAAAAATAGCAGGAGCAGCAGTTGGATTTTTGCTGGGGCCCCTGCTTGGAGTCGCTTTTAACTGCAGAAGTAAAGTCAATACTGAGCAGTAGGTCAAGAAAAACAAAAGTTAATCCCACAAGTATGACAGTTGTAGGAGCAGTTGAAGGAGTTGCAGTGACAGCTGGGACGGCAGCGGGGGTAACAGTGGGGGCTGTAGAGGCAGCAGCAGTAGGGGCAGCTGAGGCTGCAGCAGCTGGGGCTGCAATAGGAGCAGGAGCAGCTTCAGGAATTGGACTAGGAGTGGTTGGAGGTGTTTATGCCATAGCAGGAGCAGTAAGAGGCGGAATGTCAGGAGCCAAAGCTGGAGAAACATGCGTCGGTACCAACCGTGCAGCCAAGGAAGCTGCAAAAGCTGCAGGGCAGGCAGGACTATCTACACTGAAGGACGTGTGGGATGCCACACAAAAACTAGCCAGGTCTAAGGAAAAGTGCTTACAAAAAACTTTAGTAGCAACTCTGAAGATGACTCTTCAAATGCTACATGTTTTGACGAAGAAGAGTTATTATGAACTACAACCCCTGGCATGAATTATGGAATCACCAGTCTTGGAGGATGTTCATTCAGTTGTTTTATTTTTTAGACAAAAAGCAGATCACAGACAAGACACAAAACTAAGTTAAGGTCAAATGGCAACTTTCCAGCTTTACGAAACATTAAAAGAAATCAAGAAAGAAACATATTTAGTCAGTAAGAGTTGCCTTTTTTAGACCAAGCAAAGGGAAAAAAATATGGAATCACTTAATTCCAAGGAAAAAA